ATTAAAATTATAAACATAGTTACAGAACATAAAATCTCTAAAACTCTTCTGTTCTATCAATAACATGAATATTAAGCATTATTGAAATAAAGTTTGCATCTGTCCCATTCTTATATCTCTTTTAATCTTGAGACAAAATTTTTCAAATGACACTTCATGACTCCCCAAAGGCTCCACAAACCTTCTTTAAATACTATTTAATTCTAGTAGACTTCAAGTTAAGCAGCAATCTAATATATATATATATGTGTGTGTGTGTGTGTATATATATATATAAAATAGATGAATATGCTAATTAACCAGGACGCCATAACAGGTCAAACGGACAAGAAGGGGTTGCACATGCAGCGGCAGGGGCGGGGCGGCAGGGGCCTCCGTACACCTGTGCTGGGGGAGGGCCTGATCAGCAGCCCTTCAGGGGCCGGAGAGAGAGGCAGGGCCAGACTGGCAGTGGCCGCAGCTGCTGCGGAGCCCGGGGAGCGAGGCAGGGCCAGACAGTGACTCGAGGGTGGGCGGCACCACGTGATTTCAAATCGCACGCTGGGCTCCCAGTATGCACTATAAAAAGCCTTTATCTGTTTTGCAGGCATAAATACTTTTGTGCTGACCTGTACCTACTCTTATTTCTTAATTAAAAAGAAAGACATGCTATGAAATTGAATGTCACTGAGACAGAACCCTACTGGTACCTTCACATCATTCCGTTCATATAGGCTCCCCACACGGGCCATGCCAAACCCAGGCTTTAAACAGACACTCTTGTCAGGGCTAAGACAGATGGAAACTCTATCACCAACAGCGTTCTTCTTGCTTCTGATTCTAGGTGGAAAAATGTCACTAATAGTCCACAACTTTTTTCTAAGTGGTGGAGAATGGTAGAGTGAAAAAAGCAGTGTCTACAGTAAGAGAAACAGAGTTTGAGCCTAAACTTCATCACTAACTAGCTGTGCCACTATGGACAGGCTACATTAATTTCTCTGACCTACAGCATCTGTAAAGTTAGGACGAAAAAGTATTAAGAAAAAATTGTTTTATTATTAGAATCACTCTCAAGTGTTTAGAATGGCCTTATTCCACACAACAGAATATTATTCAGCAACAAAAAGGAAAGAAATTCTGATACATACTACACCATGGATAAACCTTGAAAATGTAATAAGAGAAATAAGTGAGAAACAAAAGGACATATATTTTATGATTCTATTTATATGAAATGTCCAGAATAGGCACATTCTGTGGAGAGACAGAAAGTAAATTGGTGGTTGTCCAGAGGTGGGGATGGGAGTGGCTGCTAATGGGTATGAGGTTTCTTTCTGATAGGGCAAAACTGTCCTAAAATTAGATGGTACTGATTGTACAGTTTAAATGGGTAAATTATATGTTACGTGAATTACATATAATTGCCTTTAAACAATGATCTTGTTCAGGATCCTGAGTTGGAAAAGGAACACATGTAAATAAATATTCCCATCCTATCCCCTCCCTAAGTATGGAGTAAAAGTAATGACTCGGCTATGAAAGATATGCACATAAAGTGGCAAGACTACTTTTGTTTAACAAATAAAAATTACAAATCAAAATTAATCTACCCAAAAAAAGAGTTACCTTAATGATACCCTAAGTCAAAATTTGGACCTCAGAGACTCAATTTTGGTAGTTCTTTCTACTTGTAACACCTTTGCTATCACATCTTTAAATGTTCAAATCCCACCTAACTTTAAGACAAGTTCAGATGTTACATCTTCCATGAACCTTCCCCATGCTCTCCCAAAAAGTAATGTCACTTTTCTTTGAACTTCCCTGGTCCTTCTCTTATTATACTTATTCTGCCCAGTATCAACTTATTGCTTTGACATTACAAAGGGTCTCAATAAATAACCTATTTAATAAGTGGATGATGATTGCTTAACAATTGAGAATTTCATTTTCACCTGATAAATGTTAATTTTGGAAATATCCAAGTCATTTAGACTCAAGAATGGTCCATGAAGTACCAGGGCTAAGGAATGTCCACTTTGGAAAAAAACTTATATGACCAAAGTAAAACAAGACTGATTTGACATATTTATGTATATAATCCATAATGAATTCCCAAACAGAAGCAGTGAAATAAGGATATAACCTCCCAAGGTAACTGGAAGAAACCTGAATTATTTAAATTCCAGAATATTTATTTAAAAATCTGTTTCATTATTTTATAGTGATATTACATTTTTTTCCTGAGTTCTATTATTAAGTTCTATCAGTTCCTCTTAGTCTATGTTTCTAAGATATTCCACTTCTAATTCCTTCTCCATTTTCCCCACCATACTAAAACGTCCAGGCCTCATTTTCTTTATGATCAACCAATTTTTAAAATCTCCTAATTTATCTCCCTTCCCCACAGTTCCTTCTTGCCTCCAACAATATTTATGAAGCCGTTGTGTGTTGGGAAGGACTGAGGAGCACATAAAGAAATATCAAACGAGGCCTGTTCTCCAGAAACAATCAAATAGGGACATTGACACATGAACACATATCACAATACGCAGCGGCACAGATTTAAGGGCCACAAGTGACACTGGTAATTCCAAGCAACGGGTAGGTCCCCTGGCCTCCCAGAACACAATCTTCTTCACCCTATTCTCATCCCCTCTCTCTCTCCTTATTCATCTGACTGGATGAGGTCTTGTTACACTGCCCACAGGGCATGCACTGACCCTCTCCAATTTCTCTCCAACTTGCCTCCTAAGCTAATCAAGACAATCTACTTGGGGTAACCTGGCAGTGACTTACTCAAAAGTAACTTTTGTTCATGATTGACTGTTTGTCACCACAATTCTCCCCACTTCCTAATTCATATCTACCACTGATCTCAGGACCTTTATTTTGTATGTTTTTGGAAGTATGTAACTACATGTAATTTTTTTTTCCAGCTTATAACTGGAGGGTCTTATCCCTTCCCATTTATTACAGTGTTTCCTAACTAAACCACCTATGGAGTTTCTTTAAAATACAAAGTTCTTTACCCAACAGCAATCACCTGTTATTCCTCCAATCACCTGAGAAAGCTCCTCAGTAAAAATGGGTGGGAGATGGACAGACATCTTTATTTCTAAAAAGCCCCACAGGGGATTCTGATGCACATCCCAACCTGAGAACCACTGACTTATTACAATGCTCCCTATACAGCAGACACTCAATTCTTATTAATTCATGCACTGAACCTCATAAATAACTTCTCTCTAAATAGCCTAACCAGATATCAACCCCTAGACTGCACTAGCTCCGTTCCAAGTGCAACATATGGTTTTAAGATTTCATTTCCTCAAGTGCTCCTTGGAGGGACACTATTACCTTGTCTCTTTACATTGTCTCCCATTTGTTGAAAAATGGAGGCCTGGAATGTTGCCATGTTAGACAACACCGCATAGGAATGTACTCTGGAGTCTCGGATTAACATTGGTCATATATAAAAAAAGAGAACAATGTAGAACTTAGACATTCTGAATGAACACATTCTTCCTGAATAGACTCTTGCTAAATCTATACAAGAAGGCAGATCAGAAAGCTGGCCAAACAGTGTCTCCTCCAGGTCTTCTTACTTCCCAGGGTCCTAAACTGCCTGAGACAATTGAGGGGCCCCTGAAAACGGGTGAAGACTTTCAGCTGCTCAAGTGCCTCTAGTGCAGTAAAGTGCTCTGATCAGATAAGTAACCAAGCCCCACCCAGGCCCGCAGTTGCCTCCCAACAAACCCTGACACATTATTTACAGAGCTCCGCGGGGGAGCAGCATGAACTTTTCCCAAAGCCGGTCAAGTCCAGTCGTTCCTCACCGGCGGCGGCGGTCTGACTCACCAGCCAGGGTGGGAAGGAAAAAGTGTGATGGGCCCTAGGGGTGCGAGGAGACGGGTCCCAGCCCCCCTCTTCCTACTCCAGAAGTGGGCTCTGCCTTCTGCAGCAATCACCTGTTATTCCTCCCAGCGGAGGCCCACAGAGCCTGCAGAACCACGCAGCCCCCCGGGAGGGCTGTGGCCTGGGGAGGGGACCCCGGTCCTCCCCTCTGGCGGGGCCCGCGGGGCCCAGACTCCACAGGCCTCTCCCTGCCTGCGAGCAGCTCCATCTTGCTTCCCGCCAGGGGGAGGGGCCGAGGAGGAGGGCTGGGAGCCTGGAAAGGCCCCAATGGGAGGACGCCGTTTGACAGCAGGTAAAGCTACGTGGAAATCGCCAGGGGAGGGTAAGAAAGAAAGAAAAAGAAAAGAAGGAAAAAAAAAAAATGAAAGGCAGCAGAGTTAAGCGAAAGGGACCAGCGAGTGGCCATGAATTACTACAGAAAGCAATTGCACGGTGTGTCTGGGAGTGCCTGCCGGGGGCGTGAGCCCGAGCAGAATGCCCGGGAAGGGAGGGAGGAGGAGACAGAGATGAGCAGCCAGGACAAGTGGACAAAAGGGCCGGCGGCAGGGAGCACGGAGGGGGGTGACGGGGGAGGAGGCAGGTCTCGGGGGCAGGGGCAGGAGGATTAAAAGGGAGAACGGCGTGGCTCTGGAATCCCGGGAAGGGAAGGGGAGGAATCAGTGAGGGGAGCCCCTCAGCCCATAGGCCAGACAGAGGAGGCCTCACACGGAGCCGAGCGAACGGCTGTCACCGTGAGGGGCGACACAGCCTGCTGAAGGGAGAGGGGCCCTCTGTCACCTCAAGAACGACCATTTATCAAGCCCTGAGTCTGGTTCACACGCAGTGAGTGCTGGGCACTTCAGAATACCGGCCCCCCGAATCCTCACAGCAAACCCGCCAGGGAGACGTCATTAGGACTGACCCCATTTTATGGATGAGGAGACTGAGGCCCAGAGCAGCAGCTCCGAGGCGTGCTCAAGGTCACCGCGCGAGGGAGCCTGCATTCGAACCCGAGGCCGCCCAGGGGCAAAGCCACAGGCTGCGAGCGGGCATAGGGGAGCCTCGAGGCGGCCCGGGGACGCCTCCCGCCCGGTTCCGCTCCCCCACCCCGGGCCCGGCGCGCTCACCCGGACGAGGTTGCTGACGGCCGCCTGCACGGCGGCCACGGGCGCGGTGAGGTCGGGGATGGCTTTGCCGTCCACCTCGCCCTCCTCGTGCATGATCACCAGGTGCGAGATCTGCTGCGCCACGGGCTCCAGGATGCTCTCAATCGTGCGCGTGTGGAACACCGGCATCGCGGCGGCGAGCGGGGCGGCGAACCGCGGGCCACGGAGAACTGGGAGCAGCGGGGCCGGGAACCCGCGGACGGACGGACGGACTCTGAGCCGCGACTACAGTCCGGGCTTCCCTCGGCGTGACGAGCCTCACGGGCGCCCCGCCCCTCTCGCGTCGCCGCGCCCAATGGCAGCGCCGCTCAGGCCCGGGCTGCCGCTCCTATTGGTCCCACTTCGAGACGCTCCGCCCCCTGACCCCCCCTCCGCCAACGAGATCCCGCCCAGCCCCACCCCCATTCCCAAGGGAGGGGCCTGGGATTGGGCTGCGCCGCGGGGATTGCGACTGGATTCCCAAAGCCTCACGCCGGGCGCGCCTTATAAGGGCATGGTGGGAGCGGACGTGCGGCTGGAGCGGTGGCCCCGCCCCCGGGCCGCCTCCCGGCCGGGTCCCACGGAACTCCGCCCCTCTGCGGAGTCACCTCAGGGGGCGGGGCGGGGGCCTCCCTCGGGGGCGGGGCCTAGCCTCGGGGGCGGGGCCTCACCTCCCGCCGGCTGCAGTGGGCTGAGACCAGGCAGCCATCGTCTTTCTCCTGGCCCCCTTCCCAACTTTCCCTTCACGAGAGGCCCTCAAGACACTTTCTCCACTTCTCTGAGTAGAATGTGGGGACGTGTTTTAGTAAAACATTCAAACAACAGAAGTGCACAGAGAAACATGAGCGTCCCATTCATTCACAAACACTCCACCTGCTTCCCTCCTCAAAGGTACTATACTCCCAGTTGGGTGTGTCGCTTTGTAGACCTTTGTCTATTCGGTTGTTTTGTACATATATATTTTCTAAATAAATGGGATTAAACACTGTCTTAGAACTTGAGCTCTTACCCTCTTCATTAAAATTCCCTGGTTATCTTTCTACCTCATTCTTTTTAAGGGTTGCATGGTATTTCATTGCATGAAATCAAACAATTGCCCAGGAGTGGACATTTAGGGTGGGTTCTGAGGTTCACTATTCAAAAACAGTTCTGCATGGCCATCGTTGTACTTGCCTCTGTGTTGTACACATGTCATAGCTATCTAGGACAGATACCTAGAAATGAAGTGAAAATGCTAAAGTATGTCCATTTTACATTTTGATAGATAAAATCAAATTGCAGATTGCTCTTACAGCACATAGTGTATAAGACACCTTCAAAATGTCTTCCTCGCCTCACATTCTCTTGAGAATGTGAAAGCCCATGCTTTCTCATTCCAAGATAAAACACTTTCACTAATACCTCCAAGCAGACGATGCTCAATTCAAATGAAAATATTTCTCAAGGGCCCACATTCCACAAAAGGCAAAACTATGTGTGACTTATTCTGTGTATTTCCTGAAGTTATTTTTATCTGTAATAGATACCCCTTTTCTGCTGTGCATGTTGTCAAATCCTGTACTTTTCCTTTCACAATACCTTCACTTTTTATTATTTTTTTAATTTTTCAATTGCAATTCACATTCAACATCACTCGGGATCGGTTTCAGATGTATAGTAAAGCAGCCAGAAAATCACATATCCTACAGAGTGGTCCCACACCCCTCCAACTGCCCACCTGGCCCCACACATACTAGTATTCATAAGGATGTTATTGACTATATTCACTGTGCTGTAATCCACCTCTGTGGCTATTCTATAACTACTGATTTGTACTGCTTAATCCCTTTACCTTTTTCACCCAAACCCAACCCTCCTTTCCTCTATTTTCACTCTTTTGTTACTGCTTTCATGTCCTTGTAGGCAACGTATTTCGATAACTCTATTTTAAAATAACATTTATTCGGTACTTTCTAAATTCTAGGCACTGTATAAACCCTCTGTTTAAGATGAACAACTACTGGCCCTAGCCGGTGGCTCAGTGGTTAGAGTGGCAGCTCTCAGACTGGAAGATCCCTGATTTGATTCCAGGCAAGGGCATGTGTCTTGGTTGCAGGTTCCCAGGCCCTGGTCAGGGTGCATGCAGGAGAAAACCAATCCATGTGTCTCTCTCACATTGATGTTTCTCCCTATCTCTCCCTCTGCCTCCCACTGTCTCTAAAAATCAATGGAAAAATGTCCTTGGGTGATGATTAGCAAAACAAACAAACAAGATTACCAACTACTCAATTTGGGGGCCCAGTACAAAATGAAAATGTGAATCGCTTGTTCAAAAAGCTGGAAAATGGTGCTGTTAAAGATACTACAGTATAAACCTTGTTCCTTTCTTTGGTATTCTCTCTCTCAGCCTGACATGGCATTTTTTTTATTTGCTATTTAATCTTGCACTTCCTGGGCAGGGGAATACCTTTGTGGTAAATACAGACCCCCTCACAGGAACTTGGGGGGCCATGCCTGGCTGCCTGAAGACCCCCTCCTGCCAGCTGCTGGGCTGACATGAGGTTCCCCTCCTCACAGGCCTGCCTCCCCAACCCTTAACAAATAGGTGACTTCCAAAGCTGTTGCAACCTCCACTGAGACTCCCAATTGCTGGAAGGAGTCCTGGGGCATTGAGAGGTTGGCTTGAGAATGGCTACCTTCTTGCCTCACCCCTGACACCATGGAGAGCACACATGGAACCCTGCCCCGAGACAGAACTGGGGGCAGCAGTGGTCACGGGACAGGGGTGGGGTCAAAAAGCTAGAAGTTGGGGGAGCAAGCAGCCGAAAACCCACCCAAGGGAGGTGATTGGAGACAGGACTAAGCAAAAGATGAGGCTTCAAGCCTTCAGTGCACGTTCCATTATCCCACTGAACTTCTGAAATGATCAAAGATGCCCTAACTGGTTTGGCTCAGTGGGTAGAGCATTGGACTGCGGACTGAAGGGTCCCAGGTTCCATTCCAGTTAAGGGCACATGCCTGGGTTGTGGGCACAATCCCCAGAAGGGGGCGTGCAGGAGGCAGGCGATCAATGATCCTCTCTCATCATTGATGTTTCTCTCTCTCCCTTTCCCTTCCTCTCTGAAATCAACAAAAATGTATTTAAAAATAAAATAAGTAAAATACTCAGAGATAAAATTATAAAGAATCAAAACTGTGACTGCAGAGCATTAGACCCCAATTGACGCTCTTCTGAGCACAGGGCCCCACGTAACTCCACTGATTGCACACCCGTGACCTGGCCCTGATGCCCTAGCCAGTAACCCAGGTCTGACCCTGACCGACGTTTAATTACCAAGCAGCTGCCTTGGAACATCCATTCCTTTTGGAGACCCTCACCAAAACTAAAAAAAAAAAAAAAAAAAAAAAAAAAAATGTTTTCTAGCCAAAACCGGTTTGGCTCAGTGGATAGAGCGACAGCCTGCGGACTGAAAGGTCCCAGGTTCCATTCCGGTCAAGGGCATGTACCTTGGTTGCGGGGGTGTGTAGGAGGCAGCTAATCGGTGTTTCTCTCTCATCGATGTTTCTAACACTCTACCCCTCTCCTTTCCTCTCTGTAAAAAAAATCAATAAAATATATTTTTTAAATGTTTTCTAGTCCTAACACAGCTCCCAAGCTTGTCTTCTTGGCTCATTATTTCGCACCGAGACACAACAGTCTCGCCCACTTACCCACAGCTTTGCTTTCCACAGTTTCAGTTACCCAAGGTCAATTGCAGGCCCAAAATATGTTTTTAAAAATTCCAAAAACAAACAATTCCTGAGTTTTAAGTTGTGTGCCATTCTGAACAGTGTGGAAAGGAAAAAAATCTCTCAATGTTTCATTCTGTCCCACCCAGATGTGAGTCAGCCCTTTGTCTGCCGGATCCAAGGTGTATCCTTGCTCACTCCTTTGTCACTCTGTAGCTGTGGAGGTTGTCAGATGGGTTGTCACAGTATCAGAGCTTGAGTTCAACTAATCCTTATTTTACTTGATAACGTCTCATTCACCTCACTTCATCTCAACATGTGTACATTTCATTATTTCACATCATTACAAGAGGAAGGGTGAGATGTAACACTTTAAACAATAAAAAAAAAGAAGAGTGAGCCGAAACCGGTTTGGCTCAATGGATAGAGCGTCGGTTGCGGACTGAAAGGTCCCGGGTTCGATTCCGGTCAAGGGCATGTACCTTGGCTGCGGGCAGATCCCCCGGTAGGGGGTGTGCAAGAGGCAGTTGGTCAATGTTTCTCTCTCATCGACATTTCTAGCTCTCTATCCCTCTTCCTTTCTCTCTGTAAAAAATCAATAAAATATATATTTTTTAAAAAGTTACAACAAAAAAAAAGGTGAGTAGAATATAGTAAGATAATGTGTGTGTGAGAGAGAGACCACATCCACATAACTTTATTACAGTACAGGGTAGGGCAAAAGTAGTTTTACAGTTGTGTGTGAAACACAGAGTGTATTCTTGTATCCTTACAAGAATTGTGTTATTTTTCATGTAAAACTACTTTTGCCCCACCCTGCATATCTTGTTATCATTGTTCTATGTTATTGTTACTTAGTGTTAATATCTTGTGTCATTTATAAATTAAACTTTATTATTGGTATGTATAAGAAAAACATAGTAGAGGATTCGGTTCTGTTCATGGTTTCAGGCATTCAGGTGATCTTAGCACACAAGGATAAGGGGGTACTAATGTAATAGTATTTGAATGATGGAACTACATGTGATTTCCCCCCCCCTGAAATCCTCACTCTGCCTCCACTTTGCTGGTCATATACTTAGGTGCAGTTTAACATGTTCTTGTGTCCTATGTATTTCCTAAAAATTGGCAGCAAGATTCAGAGAACTGATCATGCAATCGTCTTTTTAACTGCAGCATAGTATTTCTGCCTCTGGTCTTCTAATCCAGGCTCCCCCTGGCTGGCCATATTAACCTCCTTGAATAACATCATTTCATCTAATGTTGTTCCGTTATAGCATTGATGGGGGGGGAGGGGACACACCCAATTCCCAGTTAGGGCCACTGTCTGTGTGGAGTTGACACGTCCTCCCTGAGTCTGTGTGGGTTTTTCCAGGTGCTCCACTTTCCTCCCACACCCCAAAAAAGGTGCGAGTGCGGTGACCTGACAGGTCTAAATTGTC